AGAAACATTCTTCCATAAGAAAAGTCAAAATTCTCATACCTGCTCTTTTGCCTCCAGAATGATTATTAGTGATCTGCCTAAAGTACTAAGGTTGTTTCTTTGTTGTTTTTTATGAAGACAGTTTCAGTTTTATTGACTGGGGCTAGAATCAACCTGTAGTTTAAGTTCTAAATTTGGAGGCAATTCATAGATATGGTGGAGATTCTGGCGGCTTAAACATCATAATAGTAATAATCTAGGCTAAAGGTTTATGTATCTTCCCCATGGTACATGGGGGGTACAAATGAATTGTACGTAGCACCCAGTTTACTTTGAACACAGGAATGGCTGAATACCATCAATCCAGGATGTCAGCAATACAGCCTATGGACCAGATCTGGCCAATGGAGCCATATCACCTGGGCTAACTGGACCCACATGTGGCAAAACCTAGCCCAACTCATGTGCTGCACACACCAACTCCAGCCCACATGCATAATATCCCATGATCCAGGCCCATATCCTGGATCTGTGGATGGGTCTTGCGCCACACATCCAACCCATGCATGTGTTTGATACTCCTGCCATAGATTTACTACCCCTGATGAGTTCAATACTCCTACCATAGATTAACTATCAACAGGAGAGAATCCAAGTGTATAAGGTGAGCAGGGTCCTGCTTACTATTCAGTTATTTATTTTTAAAACAGATGATGGTTTTAGCCCCCAGGCAGAGACATACATTACCTCTATCTGGAAGTATGCAGCATAGCATGCACACATTTCTGAAATCCTGTGAAACTTAAGCTGCAGCATAACTTGCTACAAATGCAAAGTGGGCAAGTATGTCAACCCCCCACCTTAAATATCGAAATGTTAATATCATATTATTGGAGTAATTAGCTTCTTAATTTAAGGTTGTTTTCAGGAACAAATTCTATTTTTAATTCTGTGTCCAAAGAACAGTGTGCATGCATATGTTGTTTGCAGAACATGGCTATGCAAATTCTGGCTTGTCTTAAAATGAACATTAAGCAGGGGCCTACAGTACAAGGATCACAGAAAAAAAAAACAAGTTATTAAGCAGGATCTACATTCTTTTTTAAAATTTGATGCATATAATATAGTCACGCTGAGTAACACATTGCTTCATATGCATAACTCGCAGAGCAATTAATTTCCCTTGTGTGGCACAGTGCATGTGCCTTTCCATCTTTTGTCAGATTGTTCGTAGGTCCTTATTTTGATCAATATATCGACACCAAATGGAAACAATGTAACCAACATAAATTCAGAGAGAATATGATGAGTGTTGACTATCACCAGAGTCACATAATCGATTTAACCCTATCCTTTCAAAGAGTTTAAGAACATGGTTTCATCTATCTTTTTGCTGTGTTGGTTAATGCAGATGGAAAGAGCCTTAAGTTAATCTTCTAAAGAGCACAACGTAAGTCAGTGCATCTGTTTCAGTGTTTATATGATTTCATGTCAAAATGAAATACTTATTTTAAGTGACCAGCACAAATATAGTCTTAACATTTTAAAGTGTTATCAGATATTGAGAACAACTTCTTTCCTTTCAAAGACCACTGTTTCAAATACAATTGTTAATGTGTTTGAATGTGGCACTTCCTACTTAGCAAAAACATTTTGGTGAGGTCTGTGCCTCTAAACAAGACAATGGAATGCGTATATTTGAGTTTCTTAAGTCTATGTGGACTGAGTGTTTGTATTCACACTTCAGCCACCATGGTGAAGTAAGAATAATATCCCAAATTTGGTTTGAGATTAGTAAGAATGTTGGATGTGTGTGTCCATTAAAATGCTACTGAATTTTCATTTGATAGCACATGTTGTGTCAAATCTTATTTCTTTTAGTGAGTTTCCCACTGTCAAGGATGATAATCAGTGCCCTCCATAGATAACTAAAGTATAATCTCAGCCAAATTAATTGGATTTCAGTGACTGCACCTGGCATCAGTTTAGAAATATTACCATTACACTTGAAAAGATCAGAACTGAAAGAGTTTGGCATGGCTATGAAATGTTAGGCATCTCAGGAAGTCCTGACACATTGTGCAAAAATTCTGGAGGAGATAGAAATTGGGTCAGTAGTGGTAAAATCACCTTCTAAAAAGGAAAAATCTATATCATCTGATGGAAAAGTATTAATTTTTTATCATGCTCTTCACCGATCAGAGTCTGCTAGTCATGCCAGCAAAATATGCTGAAAAGTGGTGTAGTGCTTTTGGGAAATGAATTACTGTTAACTGGAGTGGCACATTCATTATTGTCATATATTTCAGTAAAGAAAAAATAGGACTAGTGAGCTTTGGGTGGGGGCAGGGAAAGAATTCATGTCAATAGGAAAGCTGGGTTTTCTTGCTGTATTTTCCAAAACTGATTTAATGTTTCTTAATCGCTGAATGTGACGGTAAGTTTTGAACTTGTGTAATATGTTTGTATAAGTAATGCTGCCTGACAAATAAAGAATTATTAGAGCCTTTAGAAGCAAAAGGCATATACATGAATAACAATTTTCTTAATATATTACACTATTCTGAACAAAAATAAAACTCAGCCAGGTAAAGGAAAAGCTATAGAAATAAAATATATATTTTAAAAAGTGATCAAAGGTTGTATTAGATTCTTGGCATCTCTAAATACCTAGACCCCTAGCATCTACTACCTGTTGGCACTGGATTTATGATCCAGTCCTGATGCCTTGTTCTGGGCCAACCCAAACCCTAAGACAACGATGACTTCTTCCATTCAATAATAGGCCAATTTTATTGATGCACAGTGATAGCAGACAACAGTAATGCAGGCAAACAAAATACACCCCCCTCCCCAATCCTACTTATCTACCAGTTCCAGGGTTCTCATATAGGGATAGTACATCTGGCCACTAAGCAAGCACCCCTATGATTCTTTGCTTATATGTCACCAGTCTTGGAGGGCCAATGCCCACCTCCTCTCCTCAGTGGGTTGGGTGAAATGGGCTGGGGGTGTGCCCTCTGCCCATGGTGGCCTTGTGATCCCCTGGTGCTTTGAAAATCCCTCCTTTTGTATTCTTATCCTCCTGATGACTCTTCATTTCCAGGTACCATTGATTGGTTTCCCTGTGGTCATTATACTGTTTACATTTTGTTCTGTCAGCGTATCCCATTGTTTCTCAAACATATCACCTGCATACATCTTAATTTTGACATATCTGTCCTCCTAATTTGGTCATTTCATCAAAACCAGAAATCCCCAGGACTTTGTAGCTGGTCACTGTGACCTAATGTCAATGCTGCAGGGTCCCTTATCTTTGTTATGATCCTGGTTTTCTGTGATTAAAAAAAAATCACAACATCTCTGATAAAACCTGCCAAACCCATGATTAAAATGAAACACCACTATGAATTTAGGTATCAGTTGAACAGAATGTTTTATTGATACCTTTACAATTTTAAAGCAATTTGGAAGTCTACCAGTGCCTCAATCACTATAATAAAATAAATTCTAAATATCTACAGATTTTGGCATTTGATTTTGGGTTTTTGTCAGAGTTTTCTCTGCCTCCTTTGCTTACCAGGACACAGATCCAGGCCCTTACTCCCAAGCTACAACCAGCCACCCCTGCTGGTGCTCCTCACTCCCCACTCACAACCCCCTGGCCCTGCTGGTTCTCATTCCCCACCCACAGCCCCATTCCCTCCCCCAGCCCTGCCAGAGCAATGTCCCTGGCTGTCAGGGCCAGGGACCTGGCTCCACAGCCCTCTGCCCCCTGCAGCAGCACCTGCACCCTAGTTGCTGCCTGTGGGGGGTTGTAGCTGCTGTAGCCTGAGTGTAGCATGAAGCCCAACTCCCCCTCTCCTATGGGTGGCATGGAGCCCGTGGGCAGGGGTGGTGTGGGCTGTCTGCTGCAAGCTCAGGCCCCCAACCCCACTGCTTTCCCCTGGTGCCTTTGTGGCCCAGCGGGCAGGACCCAGAACAGCAGGGAAGAGTGGGGCTTGGCAGGCAACAGTGAGGGGCACAACTTTGTACCATTACCTCTGCTGCTGCTAGGCAGGCAGCAGGCGCTTCACCAGGGCAGCAGGGGGCTCATAGCAACAAGCAGTTTCCCCACATGGCCCTGCTCTGCCCTGCCATGCCCGGTCCCACCCTATAGGTCATGGAAGCCCTAGAGGGAGAGCAGCAGAGGAGGGAGCCCAAGCCCTCAGCAAGCAGCCTGCACCCACCCTGCACACAGATCTGGAGGGTACATGCCCACTCCCTGCTCCCCTGGGAGTGCACACAGTGGCAGGGAGCCAGCTCAGCACCCCAGCAGAGCAACCCACAGCCCTGTCCCACTCTCCACTGGGGCCCTACAGGCACTCATTCTGGCCCTAGGCCCCAAGCACAGCCTGGCTAGGCATCAGCCCCAGCCCTGCCCAACTCCCTCCATTCCTCCTTCCCTATAGGGGCCTCAATCCCATCCCCATCAGATTTACCTGTGGGAGCTGCTCTTCAGGCTGCCTGGTGGCCATGTACATGTACATACATGCACGTGCACATGACGACCCCTGCCTGACCTTCCTCCTGCTCTCCCCAGCCCTTTGCAGGCTGGAACTCTGCCAGCCTGCAGAGAGCTCTTTGCAAAACTGGAAATTCTGCATGTTTCTCTGTTAAAATGAGAAAATCCCCAGTGTGGTCCTGATCCATGGTCACCTAGTCATCAGTGGACTCCAGAGACACCACTGGGCCTTGAACCAGCTGAAGTGGGTCAGCTGACCATCAGTTAATTGTCAGCACCTGGCTTTCAATTCCCTGGTGCAGGGGGAGCATTTAACACCCCTAACTTTTGCAAAGTGAGTTTCAAAGCATGAATTAAATGTTCTATACAGAACAACAGTGTAAAAATGTTTTTGCTGAAGTTACTTTGACCCAATTTTGAATCTTTATAACACCCACTGGTTACTATTAATTTATGTCTTTCAAAACCTTAACACTGCTTAGCCTCTAATTCTATACATGTTTCTTGCATGTTTCAGGTATGAATACAAGCAAGAGTGAGACGGTGAAAGAACCTCCATTAAAGCCTTCTAGAAGATCCATGCCATGTTTAGCACAGAGCCAAACACATCCTCAGAGCCTGAGCAAACATTCTTCATTTCTTCAGCCAAATCGCGTACAACCCCAGCCTCAACCCCAGCCTGTAAGTGCAGGGACATCAACAGCTGTAATCAATGTAGTGTCAGAACGAGGTATGTGGTTGTCCTCTATAGCACCATTTTTTCTTGAAATAGGGGGTGTTCTCTAACCTCTAAACTGCCTGGGTTTACAATTCTTATTTTGGAGATAGTTATAAAAATCATAAATCTTTCTCCTTGCTACGTGCTCTCAAACCTGATTCCACCTTAAAAATAGTTTTTGTTTAGGCATAACAAAGCCAGTTCCTAATATCTGGCCACAGTATACATAAAAGTGCATTCTAGAGGTGTCAGAAGCAATGAAGTCCACTAACTTGCTGAAGAGCCACAAAAATGAAGAGCAAAATTTTGATGTGGGGTGTACAAAGTTTGTGGATCCAGCCTTCGTTCTTTCCCTACTCCATCCCTAGTTCCTCAAATGTCATTGAGAACTAGGGCTCTGTGAAATTTTGGCAGCCATTTCATTTCGAAGGTATTTCAACCTGTTCTGGCACCCAAAACACCAAATCCAAAATGAAACAGAAATCTCCAAAACATCTCCAAAATGAAACAAAACCATACAAAATGTTTTGGATGTTTTGGAGCTGGATTTGCAGGGAAACAGAAACTAAGAGGGAGAAGGAAAAGGGACAGAAGGTCTGGTCTGTAGCTGGCCAGTGTCTGCAATCTGTACCTGAGGTCCCTTCCAATCCCAGTGCTCTGGGGGAGGGATGGCAGCCTGCTGTCATCCCACATGCAGATCTGGGGGCCCACACCCCATGGGAGCAGACTGGCCCCCAGACTGGCCTCCTGGGGGTTGCGGGCCCCTGGATCTGCATGTGGGATGACAGGATACTGTCACTGCCGAATGGGGCCAGCGCCAGCACCTGAGTCTGCTCGGCACGCCATGCACTGAGCACAGCTGGGGGGAGCTGCAGAAGAAGGCCCCGTGGCTGCCCTGCCTGACCCCATCCTCTGCCCGGCCCCAACATCCCAGAAATTTAAGAAATAAATAAGTCCTGCATCCACTGGCTCTGGTAGCATTGATCACGGCCTCTGGGGGCTCATGGCAGAGCCCCCCCATGCAGGATGGGGGAGAGGGGGCAGCAGGGATCACCCCCCCACACGCTTGGCACCCAGGCGGCAGCTGTCACATTATGTGGGTGCAGGGCAGCTCAGCAGGGCACTGCATGCTGTCTGGGAGCTGAGGCAGCTCCACGTGTCAGCCCCAGAGGCCCCAGTTCCCAGGCAGCATGTGCAAATAATGGGTATGCAAATGATGATAGAGAATACTTTATTCAAAAGAGTGTTTGTTCTTTAACCAAATTTCATGGTTTCTTCTGTAAAAAGATAATGCATAACCATTTTTTGACAGCTTGCCCTTACAATTCAGAGAGACATAATGAAAGTGAGTTTTAAAAACTTTTATTCCAAAACCTTACAGCCATCTTCCTTCTAACTCTAAAATGTTATTACTCCCAAACTATATCTGAAAGATGTTATCAATGTGCTATCCATTATCTTTAAGTCACTTGATTTAATTTTCTCACCTGGTAAATATTTATTATGTAACATATTTTTAATTAGGCAACATGGGAAGCAATGGAAAGGTGTCATGTATTTTAGAGTGAACATGGGTAACAGTGACACTTTTTGGAAGTGTTCATTTTTTTTTCATTTTTCCTTATTGTTAATTGTGAGGGGAGAAGAAAGGAGGGGGAGATATTTGAATGAACATTAAAGCAACAAGCACTACTTGCTTCTTTAAAAAAAAATCATATTTACCAAAGCAAACTTTTAACTATCAAACTTTAAAATATTAAGCCTTTATTAAACAATCCTTTAAAATAAACTAAATACATCTCTCAGCCCTGTCCCATCATTCAGAAAGGAAATTGTCCCTTTTCACTTAAGAAATTATAACCTAGGAAAAATTGCTTCCATTTGTCTGTCTAACCATAACAAAATCTGAAGATGTTCTGCTGAATAATGTTTATCAAACTGTTACTATAGAAGCCTGTCTATTCAATAAATAAATTGCACATAAAAAGTAACCATTTAAGCAATCTTAAATTATTCCAATAAAGAGAATTTTGACTATGGGTTTTAGATTATGAAATTCTCATCTTAATAAGGTTAATCAGAAAAATCCAACTGCATTTAACAAACTAAGATAATATGCCACTGTCCTTTTGGAAAAAAAGCATGATGCACCAAATTAGAAATGCCATAGATTTTGATAATAGGCATCATTGTAAGTAGGCCAGATAATGATATCTCTAATATCGAACCTGAAACTGCCATGAAATATGGCTATACACATGCTAACCCTTATGTCTGTGTGAAGTCAGTTGGATTGAGTTCTGGCCTTTTATATTGGTTCAGAAAAAAATGCACTATGTCTTGTCATCCTTTCCAGAATAATCACCTTTAGGAACAATACTTTTAACTAAACTATGTAAATCAAGAGTTGTATGTTAGCTTACAAATGGTTGCAGATTTTACGTTTCTGGAATGAATATGTTTTATTCATGTATATCTTGTGGACACCACATCTGAGAATTCCCTGATTGACCCTTGCCACCTCCTTCTAAATTTGTTTTTTTTTTCCATGTGCTCACAGATTCACTATTTTCCCATAAATCCTTTCCTTCTTTGTTATTTATATCTATCAAATACTTGTCTGAGTTTATTCTGCCCTCTTTATAGTTCAAACCCTCGATCATTTTTTATCCTCCCTGCATTTCTTCCAGTTTGTCAACATCTTTTTGGTACTGAAGTTTTTTAGGTTGTTCTCACCAGCTCAGTAGAGAGAAAATGAATTGATTCTCTAGTTTGTGACATCAGGCTTAAATTATTCTTCCTTTTTCACTCTGATATCTTATTACAAACTTAACACAAAAGTTACTGAAAGCCTGAACAATTACTGGGGAGTATGTCAGTGAGACACACGTGTTTTATGTCATTGTTGCAGGATGATTAGCCCATCAAGAAGGGACCATTAGAGGGACCCACCTGCACCAGTGACTAATAAGCTACCTCCAGTCTAAGGCTCTGTGTTAAGGGGTGGGGGCACATGCAAAAAGCATCTTGCATTTATAAAGGCCATATGCTCTTAACTGAGTTGCAGAACTGCAGGAAGCAGATAGGCTTCCCTAGGAAAAAAAAGAGCTGTTGTAGCTGCCAGCTGGCTGCTACCACCACCAGCAGTCCAGCCACTGCCTCTGCCTTGCATGTCACTGCCACTGCCAAGCAGGGTACAGAACTATCCTATTATGCCACTGTGTAACCCATCTCAAAGGTAGCTTTCATATTAAGCTTGTAATATGATATGAGAGCAACAAAAAATGAAGAATGATTTAAGTCTTATGTCACAACCCAGTGAAGCAATTCATTTTTTCTATTAAGCTAGTGAGAAGAAACCTAAACCACCTCACTACCAAAAAGATGTTGACGAGTTTGAAGAGCTTTGAGCTTTAAATGAGTTTAACTCTCAGTGGGCATGTCTACACAAGATGCTTTACTGAGCAGTAGACCAGTTTACTGCACAGTACATGTCACCATTTACATGTGCAGATGCTTACTGCACAGTAGACTGGTCTATTCCACAGTTAATTTGCCACCTGCAGATGCAGATAGCAAGTTAACTGCAGAGTAGTTACTACACAGTAAAGCATGTGTAGACAGCCAACTGGGAGCAAAATTTCTCTGTGATAGTAGAGCTGGGGCCAAGAGATCCCTGCTGCCAGGGTGGGGGACATTTTCCTGGCCCAGATTCCACCATTGGAGTCTACCCCAGCAGCCGGCAGCTCCCAGAGGCAGGGAGCAACCATCCAGTCCCCACTCCAATCCCAGAGCTGGGGCCAGGAGCTCCCTGCATGGGAGCCTGAAGCTGTCTGGGACCTGCTACAGACTGAGACAATTCTCAGCCAGCCCTGGGCTGCCTGGGGGAGTTTGCACATGCAACCTGGAGCTGACTGGGAACAGTTATAGTCTGGGACAGGTGCCAGCACTGCAGCTCTTTCCCAGGCTTGGACAGAGCTGTTGGGGAGGGACAGGTCCCAGCCCCCTGATTCTCAATGCTAGCTATCCCATCAGTGGAACAACTCCTGACCACCCCCTGCTGAGCAGAAAATCCCCACCTAGCCAAGTGCTTACCGCTAGCTGCCCCACCAGCAGTTCGGGGCAGGGGGCTGGGACCTGCTGCTCCCCCACAATGATTTCCCTGAAAGAAGCCAGAGCCAGGAGCTGCCTGCTGCCAGGACAGGGAGACATTGCCCCAGCCCAGGCTCCACCTTCAGAGCCTGGCCCAGCAGCAGGCAGTTCCCAGGCTTAGGGAGCAATTTCCCAGCTCCTGGTCCCATGCTCCTTGCCAGCCCCTGGGCTAGCACTCAGGGGGAGCCTGGAGCTCCCCATGGCTTCTATAGGGAACACATGTAGAGGTGCCCCTCCATATGCTCACCGAGCAACATTTTTACTGCGCAGTAAGCCTACTTCAAATATATTGCATGTATAGATGCTCCCAGTAGGAAGAGAATCCAAGATAAAATCCAAAAAGGGAATCCAAGGTATTACTGATAAAACACTTCCTTGTTATTGCCAGCAGGAAATGTTTTACAAAATGTATCCTTAAGTTTAAGGCTTTTTATTTGCCATTCAAAATCCTAAAAATTGTATTCATGTTGTTTTATCCCAGTAACTGTTACATTAATGGGAATACTATATTTATTTCAGCTAAAGTGGTGGAGACCCTGGAAAACAATTTACTCAAGCTGTCTAATACAGAATACAATGATCCATTTGTAGGTGAGTTTATTTTTCAACTGAAATTACATTTTTAATTCTTAACTTCTTTGTTTTTAACTTATGGTTGAAGATGTGATTGGCAAGCATCCAGATCTTTAAGCTGAATTCCTCTTGTTTGTGCGAGTGGTCAATTCTTGATAAATCATAACAATGTATTAGGGTTTTTTCAAAGTATTCTATTATAATTTCA